TTGACGAGTTCGTAGCTTGATGTGGAGAATGGCAGCACTCGCTGATGATGCCGACTACGATGCCGGCGAAACATTTGAGAATGTACCAAGTCCACGGTCTGATGCTGGGAATTATGATAACTACTATGAAAGAGGACTTTGGACAAGGTGCGTTCTATTAAGTCGCCCTGGTAACAAGACCAAGTTGCGAAAACGTGGTCAATCCAGTCTAGAATTATTAATATAAGATGTATTCACGCAATTTCGTTTAAGGTGATGAAGGACTGGTAGAAGAAGCATTTTCCCACAATGATATGAGTTGAGCTGACGTTTCCATTGAAGTTCACATAGCCTTGCTTTCCCAAACGTCGCGGTTCGACTCCCGCTGAGGGTGTTGATAAGACAGATGCGAGGTCGAAACTGCAGTCCACCTCAGCCCGGATGAGAACAACTTTTGGGAGAGCAAGGCTATGTGGAATTCAATGGAAACGTCAACTCAACTCATATCATTGTGGGAAAATTCTTCTTCTACTAGTCCTTCGTCACCTTAAACGAAATAGGGTGATACATCTCATATTACCGATTTACTGGTAATCACGAAAACAATACTTTATTCGAAAAATGGAATTATTAAGTTATACTGGTGGTTATTCTAGTAGTGGTTAATCTGATGCGGAAATTCATTGGTACCATGATGGTGTTAATAGTGATTTGTTTTGGGTTGGGATACTTTACGTTTTAATTGTGCTAGGAGTTGTGATTATTTTCGCCGTATTGGGGATGGTAGAGGCGAGAATGTGGTGGCTGAGACTGGGTGCACCCAAAACTCTTCTGCTCTGCCTGACAGCAAATGAGGCATCCAAACTTCATGTCATGCTTTCTATGCCTCCCTTTTATACCTTTTGTATCGTTCTATACATCCTTCAGTCTGATGTTTCTTGAACTAATCTTATTTCTATGTATTCTCTTTTTGCCTCCTTATCTGCCTTCCAAGCACCGCTCAACTATCCCCCATGTAGACTTATTTGTTCAATTCTTTACGTTTCGTCGCGATTCCCTCTTATCAAGCCTCCATAAAACCGCCATAGGCTGGGGGGTGTGTAGTCAAGCGTGGCTACGCTTGAGCCGATACTGTCCCAGCCTCAGGTCTGGACTTTCTCTTCAGTACTCTCGGACGAAGCACTCATCGTAAGGTAGGACAATTCTCGTCTGATATGCTTCAATCCAGGACGAGGTAATAAAAATTTTGTTCACTTCAAGCTTTGGGCCTTATCGGCGATGGTCCGCAATCCGGACTGCATTGTCTCGCCAAACCCGCTCTCCGAGATTGGGGTTGTGTTTGTAACCTACGCGTCGGAAGAGTGTATAAAGACCAGCCCCAAGCAGGGAGAGGCTTGATAACTCTGATTGTTCATAAAGCCCGCATCGGATAGGGACTTCAGGAAGCTGGCAGAATCATATCTTAAAGTGTCCATAAACCGGTTGGGTTATCAAAATTTCCCAAACTGCCAAGTGTCCGAACACCGAGACCTCGGTCTGTAGGAACTGGCAGAAGCTGGACCCGGAGTCAAAGTCGGAGTTGGAATCGGAGTCGGTAGAGCCGTCGAGTCGATGGTGTCGTTGCCCCCGACCCTATTAGCTGCTTCCGGGGTGCACGAAAAGGAAGGGGTTGCAGGAGTGTACTGTCTTTCTCTCTCGCATCCTTTAAACACTCACAGCTACACCCTCTCAGAACGCCAGGCATACTACCACTTATCCCCACTTCTTCTCGTCCAATCGCTTTCACCAGCCCTCATCTATTCGTTTAAGACCTCCCTCAAACGGTTCCAGGTGGGTCTAGCATGGCTCTTTCGTCACGTATGTGCATGTTTTTGTCCGTCTTTGTGTAGACCGAGCTGGGCGTCCGGTAACAACACGTGAGCC